TGTTTTTCTCGTTGCCATGTTCCCACCAATAACGTAGCTCCATTTTCTGCCTTTAAAAGCACACACAACCCACAATTCCTCTATTCGCTCCGACGAAGGGCTAACGCTCGAAACGTCAGCTTTTGTAATCGTTACGGTGGCCAATTTACCATTTCAAGTTTGTTGATATATCCAAATTATTTCGTTACTCCCACCTACGCAGCCGCAAACACTTTCTTTCGAAACTATCAGCCTTTATTCATTTGTGTTTTTCTCAGTTTAAAGATGTTATGCATAATTCTTTGATATTCTTCAAGTCGAGAATTCTCTCCCTAAGGCAGGATAGTTTTTAGATAAGAACCCGTAAAAATCAAGCTAATCATGCTCAATTGCTTTATTTTATATCTTTATTTATTTCTTTATTTTTTTACTCTCAAAGTTTGAATTTGAATGTCGGTTGAACCTAACCTAACCTAAAAATCAAATAAAAGTAATTAAAAAAAATTTCTTACTGGGCAACCTACAGCTTTGCGTTTGTTGATTTAACAATTTTAATAAGGTATAGACATTTGATAGCAAAAAGTCGGTCGCAGAGGGTCATAGTACACGCCACTATTTTAGGTCTTACTTGATACACAGACGCCATGTATCAAACCAAGCACTAAACAGACCAATGCAAAACAGTTAAAGGAGCACTATTATGAAACCTCCTTGTAATTAGGAAACCCGAAAAATCCAAATATTTTTACATAAAAACTTGAAATGTTCACTAGTTAATCGTCTCTGAGTTTTTTTCTAAATTGTCACTGGAGAAGATCGTCAAATTCGCGATTTTCTTTTGACCCGCCATTAGTTTACGTAATCAAGTGCCAGACTCAAGAAAACTGGGGCGAGTTTTGAGCGTGACGTAGATGGCTCATTTGACGGGCAAGAGAGTGGTCTTCCATATTTAAAACAGTATTTTGATGGTATATATTGCTTTTATAACACTAAGACTAAAACTATTTCACTAAATATCACGAGGTTTCCCTATAAATATAAAATGACGCCAACTGTGTTTTGAGTTATCTATATCACAATGGGAGTGACCACTGGCCGAAGATAAGGGCATTAATGGCGGGACGGTTTTCAAATCGTAATTTCTCCCCCTACAATTGACTTTCAACTAAAATTATCATTGAAAAGGCTTTATTAATCGCTAAAAGTCCATATCATAATGAAATAACTGAATTTGTCGGGTTTTCAAATTATCGGGAAGTTTCATAAGAGTGCTCCTTTAAGAGGAGAGGTCGAAGAAAGAAAGTGATCTTAAAATACATACAGAAGACGACTTAAAGCAAAGACGTGGCCATGGTATACCAAACAGCAGGAATTTTTATTATTCTCTTGCTACGATTGGTATCATTATATGGCTTACAGCGCCCGATTGGCTACCCGAGAGGGCAGGCTGGGCCCGTTTTTCCGTGGATGCAATTCAGGGATAGGAACTTTTCAAGTTTTTTTCAAATTTCTACGCCCGTTCTCTTTTCCTTTCTCTATAAAATACTGCCCTTTTTACCAAAAGTTCATGTTATTATTCCATAATGGAGGACTTGTTGTTTCCTCTATATTGATTCTGAATGCAAACTCTCAAACAACCGCAATGCCGAGAGAGGCAATTCCCCGCAACAAAATGATCATGACCATTGCATGTTATGTGCCTGCAGAATGCGCATAATAAATCCCTGTTCAGGTAAACGAATTCAGCAACAAATGGATCTAGAAATGACGTTTAATTGCTTCATCGAACTTACTGACTTGACAGTTAAAGAAAATTGACAGATCAAATGTCTCATAAATTTGCTTCAGACAAAATGGCCTTAATCTATGTTCCAAACAAACCTCCCGAATGCTAGCATTAAGTTACTTTCTTCACTCCGCGTTGATTTCAAGAGAATTTTTTTTACTTCAGTTTAATATTTATTGCTTTAGAGATGAATTACTTGTGTCTAATCAAAATGATCTATATGAATTATAAGATAACCAGACTACGCGAATTAATATGACTTCCCCTATTATCATGACAAAAGAAAGCGCATGACCCCTTTTGGTTTATACATTCCCTGATGCGTTTTTTACTGTAATGGTTTTTTTTTTTTAGCTGTGTTCTTTCATTTTTAAATCTTGGATTTCCTTCTTTTTCTAGCCGCCGATAGGTCAATTGAGGACCGGTAGAAGTTTTCCAAAGCTTTTACGATAGATCCTCATAAATATCAAGCAAGTGCAGGGATTCAAAGCGCTCCAAGACAACACCATGAATCCAGCTATGAACTTAAGCACAGTTTCAAACGCGCAAATGGGTGGAACATCCCAATCCCAGAGGAATATTCGCGTGAACATGTAAACAACCGTCGGGATCATACAGGTAACGAAACATATTACCAAAGCCGCCGTCATGCGGATGATTTTTCTTCTCTGTTGCTCTAGATGACGAAGTTGATAAGAAAGTTGTTTCCTATTTCGGTCGTTTCTCTTCTTCAAGACCCAGGCTATGGTCCCATACACAATGATCAGAAGACAAATTGGTGTGATTACAAAGGCGATGTGAGTTGTTGTAGTGTATATCTTGTGTGTCTTTTGACGATCGAAGGCTGGTTCCCAGTCGGAGATGCAAAGAATCCCTCTGTCTTCATCTGAGAACAGTCTGAATGTATAAAAATATGGAGAGTAAACCACGAAGGCGATGATCCACGTACTCAGAATTCCAATAACACGTGTTTTTGCTGACTCAAATGTGGTGTTTAGTGGAGACAGGGCAGAGATCAGTCTATCCAGTGATATCAAGAGTAGGCTTTCGATTGAGACAATTAGAGAGACATCGGGAAGAAAGTGACTCAGTTTACAGAGAATGTTTCCCAGTAGCCTTGGACTCTCTACTTTCCAAGAATCTGATCCCGAAACGATGTTGACGATTCTGATGAGCGTGATGGTTAGAGGAATACACAGGTCAGATACGGCCATGTTGAAAACGAAGTAGTTGACCGTTTTTCTCAACTTTTTGTTTTTGTAAGTGATTATCAGGATCAAAATGTTTCCTGAAAGAGAAACGAGAAGGATGAGAAAGTAAGCGGTGGCTTTGAGGATTACTTCAGTCTGGGTATCCTCGCTCAAAAAACATTCTTGGTCGTCTGAGATCTCAGCAGTCTCCGTTATGTTTGCCGAAACATTTCCACTGCCAAGTTGTTCCAAGGTAGTATTTGGAAACATCTTGGTCCTTATTTCTCTGGATTATTGAGCAACAAAAGTCTTTGTTAAGATGTTCCTGCCTATCGAGGGTGTCGACGCTTTGGTATCGCATCCAGCAGATGACATTCCCATTGCTACTTATTTATTTATTTCTCATTGATATGAACGTGACATGACGTTGAGCTTCTTGCAAATCACCTGCTTTTGTCTTGAAGGCATATTTATTACGCAGTGAGGGATCGCTCTTTATTCTAGAAACATGTAAATTCCCTAAATATAGACGCCTGTCTATTTTTTTGTTTTGGCGCCTAATGGAATTTTCGTTTTAATCTGTCGTATTTCAAGGATAGTATTTCTAGTTGACTTCTTAAGTATATATTCCATTCGATAATTACAGAGCGACCATAAAAGCCGCTCTTGTCTCTTTTGCATCACAAAGAGTACATTGCTTAAATGTACCTTCGAAACCGTTGTTGAGGAAGAGATGTCTCGTTCACCCTAGCCACACAGCAAGATGCACTTAAATAAGGAGCCAATGGCGCCATGAATTAAATCCCGGTTGCGCATACAAAAGCCATTTCTCAATTAACTTTGTAATGCCCGCTTTCAGCTGACTGGGATGAACTGATAAAAAGCTAGCCATTTGTTTGGAAAACAAACTGTTGATAAAGTGTCTTCTGACTGTTGTTGTTTCAGCGAGAAAGATATTTGCAAAGTTGCAATGTTCCCAATGAGCAATTCATGTTTGAATCGGGTTAGCGTCCCGTGTATTAGACTTTTTATACTTCTCAGCCTGAGTTCAGTATGGCGCCATAGAGCCAAACCAACTCCTGATTGGGGTTAGTGATTCATTATTCATGTTCAACGCTTTCTCACTGTCTCTAAAACTGCTTAAAATTTAGGGTTTTCTTCATTCCTAGGTTTGGATCTTGTGTTCTTGAATCATGATTTTTTTTCTTTCTCAAAAGGAGCCTGTGCATGCATTTGGCGAAAGAGATAAGACATAACTCAGCACATTGAGAAGAAATTAGCCGACAGCAAAGCAGCTATCAACTCTGTGATCAAAATACATAATAGAGCTGACGTGATTTAAATCTTCGTTGACAACCGGAGCTATTTTGTTATTGCAAGTTTTGTTTACAAGGCAATGCCACACACGATTTTTCGCTTGTTTAATTTAATTTGGTAGGAATTATTTATTAGTTCATCTGTCACTGAAGTTTATTGCACTTTGTTGCATCATGAATATTTTTCATCCTCTCGGCCGATTTTTCGCTTTGCTTGTAAAAACCGCCCTCAAATGAAGTGTATTCTACCTAATTATTTGTCCACTCGCTTCTTTCAGAAGCGCCCCACCCATAGTTTTTGCTTTCCTCTGTGTAACAGTAAACATACATTTACTGCAAGGTCCACTGTTCTTCATATCGGCGACACTCACTGAGAGAAGGGAGACGGGACCTCGGGTTAATAGATTTTATCGGAGAAGACGAGGACATAAATATAAAAGCGAATATATAAGCGATCTTTTCACTACTTAAGCGGTAGTGAAAATAAGGCCTGAAAAAAAAAAGAAAAATCTGGTCTTTACGGGATTTGAATCTCGCAAAAGTGGTGCAGTGCTCTACAAACCGCGAGCTAACTAGGCAACTGGGAGCTGGGCATTATGTTGGTTCGTAATAAACCTGTGAAGTGATGAATCAGTGACTGTCAGGTCTGAAAATCAATATGAGATTTTCATATATTCACAGTCAAGACAGGAACACGTAGAAATATTTGAAGCCGTCATTTCAAATACAGTGCTTCTTTCTCGACATTTCAGGGGAGAATGCTGGGCCCGAGAAGCTATGCTTTTGGACTTGAATTCTGCGACGCAAAACTAAAGTGACTGCTCACAACGATCCATTGAAGGATTTCTTTGAACACAAAAGTAATTTTATAATGCAGAGATGAATTATTAAGCATTTCTGAATTAATGTGGACGAGCAGGTGAGAAGAAATTGCTTAAACGGCATACACCGTTTCTATGCGCTGACTGTCTGACTCTTTCAACTGAAAAACGTGGTAAATTTCAAGTTTGAAATACAAAACTACATAGAAAAATTAACAGAAATAATAATAATAAAAATAGATACCGAAGTTTACCTGGGCATTTTAATCAGTTTGCATTCCATCACTTAATCGAAAAAAAAAGATTTGGAGCCTTCAACTGGCTTAGATTAAGGGCAATTTTTAGAGCACGTATCTTTCACCATTGGTTTTTAAGTTTTCCTACAGAGTCTTGTTATTATATCTTCGACATCTTCCTATGACTCCCTGCTTTTTAAGCTTTCCTAAAAATTCTTGTTATTATGAAAGGGAAGTGATTTAAAGAATTAGAATAATATAGTCAGAGCCTTTAGATTATAGACGGATCATCCTTGTCAATCGATCAGTCCGGAAGGAATAGTTATTTCCATGATGCAACAAAGAGCAATAAATCTGAGTGAGCGATGATTTAATCAATCATTCCAAATGAAGTCAGCGGAATATAAATCATTGGCGGTAGGACTGCATAATAAAGATAAAAAAGATTTTGGATTAGGCCTGCCTTTTTGCAGTTGGCTCGATGTACAAACACATTCATGTTTTGGTAAACAAACTGCTGGTGAGTTGGTCTTGTACGGCTGTCGATTTAGAAGGAAAGGGTAAACAAACCTTGGCGTTCTTCAAGAGAAATTTCTCTTTATTTATAAATTTGCATTTCATATGTCACTGCTTGTGCTTTTGAAGTTTGAACCGCCAGAAATGCTCGGTAATAAATGTTCTTCAGAGATCACATACTCTCTCATCTCCCTGCTACGAAGTTGTTTAAAATCATAGCGGTCACCCAAACAGCGTAGGTAGATCTTTTTTCTTAGCTGAAAAACAAATTTGCCTTTTCTCAAATGAGGCATTGCATTATATATTTAGAAAAGAAAACAACCTAATAGCATGGCTTGGCCTAATTGAAAGAAGTTACGTGATGTGAACCAAGTAGGTGATAGAGCGTTCGCGAAATTCTTCTCTGAATCTGCAATTCAGCACTACCAATAATACCTATTTTTTTATTCCTTTTACTGTGCTAATAGAATTGATTGCTGGATATTCCATCAAAATCACTCACTGAGTTAAAGGCTATATTTGCGATCTAGTATTCTTCGCTTTTCTTATTTTTAGCAGCCATTTAAAGGCTAAGAATATTACGGGTTGAAATTTAAGAATTATGCAGAAATGTTGCGCCAATCATTGTGCGAATCTTGACAATGAAAGCTGAGGTGATGACAAGAATACATTCAGTTTAAAAATGAGCTATTTACAAGAAAAAAAAATTTAAAAGTAAAACTAGCACACGTTTGGCCGTGGGGACAACAAAATTGCACGATTCCATTAGGCGAGTCAATTTGCATGTGAAATACCTAAACTATGATTAAATCTGGTGGATATTATACATAAATGGTCCACGATATCCATTGCTACATCATACTGCTAAGTTAAGGTAACGATTAGATTGCAGGGGTATGTCTTCTGGTTATTACTATGGACCGGAAACATACTTGGAAGGCTAATTTTTCATTTGCCACGGGATAAACCATCTGAAGCAATTATGGAACTCACTCAATGGGACTTGATTTATGAGCTGTATAAACCAAGTCTGGTCTTGTTTAACTATTTTACAAAAAGATTGACAATATGCCTCCAATTATTTCAGATTTATGTATGGCTGTATGGCGCGACAGGCCGTATGACTTAGGCCATCCCAATTTAATGCTTCGTCTCCCATCGCCCGACCGATCCATTTTTTTGAAGTAAAAAAAAAAAAAAAAAACTCCTGCAACGTTTTTAAAGCCTTTTTAGACATTTGACAGTCGTTTTAATATACATCTTTTACCATCTGATTATACCTTCAAGACTAAATATGAGATTTAACATGCAAAAGTAACTGGAAGATAAACTGAATGTTTCTTGGAAAAGAACATTTCGTCAAGATATGTACAGCTTTTTTGATTAAACAGTAACTTTCTAACTGAGTCTTGCTTGTCAGTTTCAATCTCATAATGGGGGCGACTGAAAGTTTAGTTTTAACACGAAGTTGCATTCGAGAACATTTTTAACGAACGCACCCCTAGGTAAGGCCAAAACTCTCTTCCTTTTTCGTAATCTTATCACAAGTGCCATTGTAGATAAAGAATAACGAACGAAGAAACCACGTTTTCGGGTTAACTTTGTAACCAAGCTTTCTTACTTAGCAGCCCGGCCTTCTCTGCCTCCCAGACCCCTTCAAGTATTCGTTCCTTTTTTTTATTTTGCCCGACCGACCGACCCACCCTCACGAGAGGGAGGGCGATGGGAAACGAGACACTAAATTGGGATGACCTTAAGACAACATAATGAGGCCGTTCTCCCACGATTTTCCTTGTATTTTCATGGAGAATTATATTCTTTATTTAACGAGAAGCAGTCACATGGACGACTCCGGAGCTAAAAGGTAAAATTCGTACAAGGCTTCTCCGATAGATATTAATACAAATCAAGCAAATGCACGGATTTATAGCACTCCAAGCATGAAGCATAAAGAACGAAAAGAATGAAATCACCGTTTGAAATAAGCAAACTTCTAAGTCTGAATTCCAATTCCAAATAAAAATCGTTGTGAACATGTAAACAATAACTGGACTCAAGCAAATAAAAAATGCGATTATTATGGCTGCTGACATCCGGATAGTTTTTCGGAGCTGCTGATTTCGTTGGCGTTGGATGCAAGATAACTCCCGTTGACTTCTCTTGTTATTCTTTATTAAAGTCCACGCGATAGTGCCGTACAGAAAGACCAAGAGGATAAAAGGAACCATAAGGAAAATGATATACGTTGCTGTAACAAACTTCTTGAATGTCTCTAGATGATCTTGTCCCCAATGCTGCTTGCAGTACGCTTCATTTTGGTAAGAGAACAATTGAAAGACGTAAAAATAAGGTGCATGAATAGCAGAGGCGACGAGCCACGTGCACAAGATGGCGGTCAATCGTACCTTTGAGGAGATGAGACTGGCCTTTAATGGAAAGACCACAGCTAAGAGCCTGTCACATGAGATCAATAGAAGGGTCTGGATAGAGACCAGCAACGAAACATCTGGAAGAAAGTAGCAAACTTTGCACAAAATGTTCCCAAGGAGCCATGGATTGGAAACTTTCCAGGAGTCAGATCCTGAGATGATCTCGACGACTTTGATAGGCAAGATGGTTAAAGGATTAAACAGATCGGACAAGGCCATATTAAACACGAAGAAGTTGGTGGGTGACCTTCGCAACTGTCTGTTTTTGTAGAAGATGATTAGTACTAGAAGGTTCCCGACGAAGGAAACCACGAGAATCGAGGAGTAAGCAATGGCTTTTTCAACGTGGCCACTTCTTTGTAAGCAATCTTGGTCACTGGTGTTTTGAGCTGCTGCTTTTTCCGTATCTGCTGAAAAGTTTTTCATATGCAGTCCCCAGCTTGAATTTCCAATCATTATAAAAAACGTGGGGTTTCGATATGATCAAAGAGCGATGATCCTTGTTTTCAGTTAAGACTCCCAACTCGAGATTACGGAAATTGAATCGTGTTTTACCGCTAGCTCTTGCACTGAAAAAGTGATCTGAAAAAATCAATACTAGGTCTCCTTTTATAGGTTTTGTGTACTTCCAGAACTTGTGCTTGACTGGATGATCTCTTTGAGCCCATTTAATCCACGCTTTTTACACTATAAAGAAGAACCTAACAAGCTTTATGTTACAAATCTGTTTTCTGAGTTAACATTGCCGAAAATGATCTTTTAGTTAAGTGCATCATTTTCCTATAAGATTTCAAATATCAAGTTACATAATGGGACAAATCCCATATTCTCATTTCAGAATTTAAGAAGGCAGATAAATGAGAATAGAAGCAAGCATATCACGTATCCAAAATGCAAAGAATAGTCGCAACCTTAAAGGCATAAGACAATGTCCGCTTGAAGTGTGCCATTCTCCTAATGTAGATCACCCGCAGGTGTTAAGTGTTTACCAAGTGGTTCATTATTTCCTTCCCTATTCTTTCTTCTTCCTTCGAAACTATAGATGAAGATAAAGCATAATGGAAAATGTAATTAGCTTCCATTCGCAACTTCTATAGTCCTAGTTTGCCGCAATCCCTGCTCATGTGGCCACTTTCAGTATTTCAAAGTCTTCCGCTCGTTTCCTTCCTCTTTAAGCTCTGAGAAAGCGACATGGTCAGTGAGACTCATTTAAATCAAACATTCTTTTATTTTCTACCTTATTAAGAAGTTATCCTGCCAACTCTTTTGTAATTTTTCGTTAAATTGAGTAAAAATACCTAGTTTCATGACGATTCCCTTCACGTGTCTAACACATGTAGTTTTTCCGTAATAGACAGCAACTCATCTGAAGCGTTCATACAACGTTTAAAACATATCCAGCATAGCTGTATAGTAACCACAATGTGGTGACTATGAATTCAAATCCTTTCAGTAAAACTTAGATATCAGGCAGTCAAATAAAAAATTTCTCTCAGACAAAAGTTTAACGAGAGGCACTTCCATACGATTGATCTGTTTTCTTGATGGAAAACTTTCCACCCTAACTCAGTTGGTTCACTTTTGTCAAAAAAAAAGAAGTTTAGTTACCATTAAAAAGATTTGAAAGAGGAAACATATGAAGGACTTAAAGTAAATCAAGCATGGAAGAACAATAAATATGTTACGAGAAAATATGAACTGTCGTATAAGATTAAAGACGTTGGACTCGACCGATAAATTATGATATATTCTAGTGAAGGATAAAATGTAAAAAATAAACTTTGAAAATCAATCTAGTTGCTCTATAGTGAGTCTTTCTGCATCTATGACTCTCCTTTCTTACTTCTTTTAAACTAATTTTTTGTCCCCTTTCTGCAGCTCCCGTTTATTAATATGGGTCATGAATTTCAACACAGTAGTTTGTTATGGACAGAGAAAATGTGATCTTAAGTTTACCTTGATAACATCAAGTTGAAACTTCATCGCCTAAAAATTTTGATCGAAAAGAAAAGCTACGGCATGTATATCGATTAACTATTTATCTCGTCGTATTTGGTAGATCAGATCTTATGTTCAATTCAGCATTTACGTAAACGTGGCCAGAATACAAAATGACGGTTGAAGGGCTGACGCAAATAAAACCCTCCACGTTTTTATTTTCAGCTATCTTAAACGGCATTGGCTTCCCATCGATTCTCATCCTTGTTAAAGCGGCAAAAAAATTACTCAGCATTAAATTACCAATAAACTTTTTAAAATCATTTCCATTAAGGAGACAGATGTTCCCTTAGGGTACAAGAGGACTTATTGCACTTGAGCCAAAATGTTTTAGTTTGCCTAGTGCCAAAATTTAATGCCTAATGCCAAAATTTAAGTGGAAATCGTAAAGTAAAAAGTTATTGAGCTGAGGGCCTATTGAAAACTGTCTTCCAATTTACATATATATGGCATTTGCTTTAAAAATTCGTATTTTCATAAGAGGCTTCCTTTGGTAAAACCTCTTAGTTCCTTACTTGAATGGTATAGAGTGGCAAAGTATGACGTCACGTTGTCATGACCGCATTTTTTTCAGTTCTAACTCATAATCGATGACGATGCTGAACTTAAATGTTTTCTGATCAGAGAATTTTTATTTTTTACTAAAATATATATATTTTTCTTCTTTACCTCCGGAAGATGAGCTCAAACAAATACGATGTCTCGATGCTTCTATCTTCCACTTTTCTACCGTCTTACATCTACACAATTTTGTTAACTTTGAATTTGCTTTGATGAACTATTTGATATCACCGACTGTGCCCTGTACGTCTAGCGTGTGGTGCCGTGTGGTGCCGTGTGGTGCCGTGTGGTGCCGTTCGTTTCGTTTAATATTTGCCTCATGTTTCCTCTTTCCAAAAGCAGCTTTGGTTAAACACCCTTATCACCTTTAGGGAAAATTAAAACCCGGGTTTGAATCAATACCACGTTGTTTCTCGATTTCTCTAAGGACCGTAGGCATCATTTTTTCGGAAACAGCAAGCGAAAAATATCGATTATTCTTTTCCGTTCGATCCCAATGATCCCTTAATTTACCATTGAAGAAAATAATGGAATCAATGTCCTTTTCACGGTCATTTCAGATAGTTTTTCTGAGAGCAGACATCGAGACGCCTCATTTTTGCTGTTGACTGTTTGCTTCACTGATACGATGCGATAGACCTCCCCATTATTTCGAAATGTGCTATTGCTTGCATCGTCTCTTAGTGTTATAGATCCACCATAGGTTATGGAACAACGTCGAGAGATGACTGAGCAGAAAAGATATATGTAATTTCTAGAAAAACTCGTAACTGCGTGACTTTCGCTTTAATTTATTACTATCGAACCTTAGTCAGTTCTTTTAGACAGGTCTAGTAAAACAAAAAAAATCACCGATCCAGTTTTAAAACCCATTAGATTTCATTAAACAGTTTTTCCCCGACACCACATAATTTCTAGCTTTTATGTCAGAAATATGGGCGGGAAGCGAATTAATGCTACCTCGATGAAAGTGCATCCAGCGTCCTCTCTGGGTTTAATAGTTTAACTCCTTCTAAAAATTAGATAATTTGGTTTTATGAACTCAGTGGATAGGGTAAATGGGCTACAGTAAAGATTTTCTGGCTTAAGAAACTGTTAACAGTGGCCAATTTCTATTATCAACGTAACTCATTTGCAATACTCCCATGGCCACAGACGTAGCACCACAGTTTGTCAAGGTAATCGCATGGGGCCGAGTAAAATTAAGGATTAATATCACGCGTGTTTTCAGAAGTTGCTGAAATTTCCCGAGTCGCTTCGCTTCGCGACTTGGGCAATTTCAGCAACTTCTGAAAACACAAGTGATATTAATCCTTAATTTTACGAGGAACCATTGCGATTACTTGTTAATGAAATTGAGGGGAAAATTACTGAATTTCTGAATGCGCTCTTCAGTAATCAGTCATAGGAAGCCATTTAAAGTTGACAGAGAATCAATGGCCACAAACGCACGAATGAGCTGAATGAAATTTTATTTTTGCACAAAGATACCAGGACTTTGGATAGGCTTTTGATTTTAGATATCTCTCCAGTGATGCCTGCATTACTTTCAGGCAGTCGGGCTCATATTCATCCCCGTTTTCTTTTCGTAACTCGGCATAAAACTGCGCCAGTGTTCGGTCGAGGACATCGCTCTCGTACTCTTCTAAATTTGCTTGGAAGTTTCTTTCATTCGCCCACTTTTTAAAAACGTTCTTCCAGTACTCCGTGCTTTTCCTCGTGTTTTCGTTTTCACTCTTGTCTTTTAATTCTTCGATATATTCCTCGTCAACTATCTCGAAACGAGACGCCATTGTTACAGAAAATCTTCAGCAACAACTTTTCGATAGCATAAGCTGTTGCTAGGCAACCTGAGTACCAATCATGAGCTAGTAATTTTGCCCTCTTCTCAAGCAAAATTAAGAAAAAA